ACTAGTCTTCTTATGGGGCCTAATTACAATATAAATCTGAACAGGGATAAATTACTCCAGAAGGCAGTTTTCCTTCTAGCAATAGCAACAGGTATGAGAATCAGTGACCTGATTTCAATTTCCAATAATCCATCATTATTGGTATTTTCTGACGAGGATGTTATCCTTTTTCCTACGGAGATCCTAAGAAAAAATGAAAGGGAAGATTTCCAAGCTAAATCTATTAGGATAAAACGTCTAATGGATGAAACATCTTCAGGAATGGTTAACCAGATTCCCTAATCGAGGCCCTTATGTTTTCTCATCAAGGGATGGTAAGAAATTATCTCCTAGTCAGTTGACAAAATCCTTATCTCAATTGGTGAATCAAGCAGACCCTGGCAAGAAATTTTTGGCACGTGACACTAGGAAATATGCACGGTCTGTGGCCCTTCTGCGGCATATGAGTCTCAGTCAGATCAAGGAAATGGGCTTTTGGAGATCTTCAAAAACTTTCAAAGACAGCTATCTTCATCTATCTCTCAGAGATGCTTTAAATGTGTTGTCCACCACCTAGTCAATCTCTAAAACCAGGACCTTCTTCCTCATCAGAATAAAGTGAGTATCCTTTTTGAGTAAATTAACATTTTACCTTCCGGTAAATGTTCCTAATTTTGGAAATATTCTAAACGGTTTATAACATAATCTGGACCTCAGTCAGCGGAGCCTTGTATGCAAAGTCACCTCCTGCTCGGGTATTCTTGCTGACGTCGCATTCCAGCTTGAACAAAAAGCCGTTTTTTTCTAAAAAACAGTTTTTGTGATTTAGCTCGGAATGCAACGTCCATAACCCACCCATCTCCACCCCTCGAGAGTTGACTTTTATTTACTGCTTGCTCTGAGGCAAGAGATGAAGGTCGTGATGCGTATGGTGGGGGGTGAAGGAGGGGGTTTTGAGAATTACAATTAAATGCCAGGTAGCGACGTGTCCTCCTAATATTACTTATTAAGTAATTATTAGATGTTTTAATTGCCTGTATGTTGACCTGGCGAATTGGCTGGGAATTAACATACCTAGGTAACATTGCTGACGTTGCATTCCGAGCTATATCACAAAAACTGGTTTTTAGAAAAAAACGGCTTTTTTGTTGTACTGTACAGTATTCATCACAGAATTGTAAATAACTCTTTTTCAGATTCCTTTTGTACACCAAGTGATGGATGGTTTGTACCTGAGCTGTTCATGGACTGTAAACATATAATGGTACTCTTTATTATTTATAATATTGAAATTAGTTGCATTATAAACTTCTGTAGTGATGTCTTTCCTTGTGGTTTTGCATTAATTTTACCTTTTTTTCAGCAAATCAAATTTACCATTCAAATTTGCCTTATATTCATGTGATATTTTATGATTACAGTGGTCCCTCGGTTAAGGAACGCCTCAGTTAGCGAAATTTTGGTTAACGAATTACCTTCCATAAGAATCTTCATTTCGGTTAACGAAATTCTTACGAAAATGTTTCGACATGCTTTGACTTGCTCACCGGCTGGAAGATAAGTCCGCCAATACAAAAATCGGTTCTAGGGCTTACATTCGTTAAAATTGGAGTAAATATCAAGAAGGTTGTACTATTCAATAATTTTCCAAGTTTTATATTAAAATTTTAGTCATTTTAACACTTATTTAACATAATTGCAGTACAGGGAACTAGTTTTTGGTGTGCCCATCAGCCACTTCACTGACCCACCAAGGCCTCAGTTTGTATCTCTGTTCAGTGGAGGAAACATCTTGCTTGTGGGTCTTTTGAACACAGAGTATTTTTACTTTTTTACACTACAATTATTAGTCATTCTGAAATTTATTTAACATATTGACAATATATAGCGCAGTGCAGTGTTGATTTAAAGAAAATAATCTTGAATTACACCTAGTGAACTTTACATTTATATGGGTGAAATGACGGCATCAAGCATGGGGTGATTTCTCTTCCACCCCCACTTCCTTCTCTTCTCTCTTCTCCTCCACCCCCACTTCTAATTCCCATCATCATCATCAACCGGAGCCTTCTACATACACACCTCAAAGTAAGTGTACTTTACTGCATTTTTTTTTTACTTTGTATGTAATTTTCGGTGAGCTGGAACCAATTACCCAAAATCCCATTGAAGCAATGGTTTCGGTTAACGAACGACCTTCTGAAACGAATTATGTTCGTTAACCGAGGGACCACTGTATAGAAGAAAGATGATTGATAGTAAGAAACATGTGTGTTTTAGAAAGAAACTCTTGAAGGTACATAAAGACACAGCAATGAAGGAGACAAAGGGGTTGTTAGATTATGTGAAATATCCAAATTAAACTTTTTTTTTACTTCTTATAATTTTTCACAGCATCGGTAGACGCTGAGGTGCTGACATAGGCATATGAAGGCTTTCTGTACCCGTCTCGGTCAGTTGATAAGACAAACTAAAAACAATATTAAGAGTGGTAACTTAGCTAAAAATTAAATATATTTAGCGTTTCAGTTATCATGGCTCATACGATCACAAGGTGAAGCAATGATAGGACAGTGACTCAAGATATTTCAACTGTGGAATGCTGATATTTGTAGTATCCCAGTTTGATCTGATGTCAATACAAAGAATAAAATGATATATGGATTTTAGCATATCTTCTTCAGATAAAACTTCATCAAAAAGCAAATCCATTGAATGCAAAACATCTCAAAATGTATGTAAAGTTGGCTCCACTCCTGCATTTACCACTTAGCATTGCCAAACCTCTCTCTCCCTGAGGTCTGAACTCCAAACACTGAACTTGAAATTCAAAGAATTCCCCCAGTGAGCCGGAGGGAGAGGGAAGGGGTAATAATAATAATAATAATTAACGGTTTATTGAAAGAGCATGGCAGCCTGAAGACTGAAAAATACAGTTACATAATTGGGGAATGGGTCATTTTTTATTGACAAATAATAAACAAGTAACCTAAGTGATACAAATATGATATATAATAACAAGGTAAGGTTTAATGGGAGTGAATACACTGGTTTGATTACGAGTTGTTGATATTTTTTACAATGGTTGGGACTGGGCTGGATGTAGTTGTGGTGTTGAACATCAATTCGTGGACAAGGGATCTCGGGTGGAAGTAGGAGCCGGTGTCGAGGATGGTGCAGAAGTTTCTCACCAAATTTACAGATGAGGTCGTGGTGATGTTCAGAGAGAACTGAAAGGGTCAGTGTGTTGAGCGCTTCTTGATATGTGGAGCAGGAAGAGAGAATAATCCTGCATGCCCTCTTTTGCATTTTTTCTAGGTGTTTACGTTGTGTGGCATTTAGGGAGGAAAACCAGGCAGGGGAGGCATGAGTGAGCTTGGGAAGTATGAATGTTGAGTAAACATTGAGGAGCTTGGACGCAGGAACTCCGAGGGACTTGAGTCGGCGGAGGAGGTGGAGACGAAAATTGGAGGATTTGTCAACTTCACTGACGTTTTGTTTTCCAATTTAGTTTGTTGTCTATGGTGACGCCGAGAAGCTTAGTGGAGTCTACAACCTGGAGTGTGTTGGACCCTAAAGTATTGGAAGGTGGTGGGACAACTTTGGAGGAGAGGTTGATGTGCCTAACCATAGTCTTGGTATGGTTGATGGTGACGTGCTTGCGTCTTGCCTCACTCACTTATCGGGGCACGTGCATGTGCCTCGTCTTATTGCTATCTATATACGGTCGACCTGACAATCATTTTGTTTACTCTATGACACTTGCACCTGATATCATTACAAACTTCACAATGATATTTGTGTGATTTACTGAACTATATGACATCATTCAAACAAGATTGTTAATTGTGTTATGCATGCACTTACATCAGACAACAGTAATGACATTTGTTTTCCACTCGCATATGCAATACACAGAATGGGATTGATTTCACTCGGACAAGATGATTTTCTTCACACTTCACTAATAAGGTTTAGAAAGTTAGCACTGTGAGAAGTATACGGGCGCTGCACTGCACTCCTCATCACTCGGGTACACACACACACACACACACACACACACAGATGAACACGTCTCCTCGGGTGGTGTGGGTGGTGAGCCACGCCCACAGTTGACCTTGGTTGCACCCTGTCCTCTCTCTGCTAGCCGCAAGCGTCAACTTTGCTACACTGTAGACCCTCACGTTTGACTGTAATCGCCTTTGGAGCGATTAAGGGATAATAAGACCCGTCACGTTGAACTTGAACATTATAATTCGGTCAAACCTGTTGAATACAATTCCTTCTTAGTATTTCAAATAATATATCATACGTAGGTAATCATACACATATGTTTAATCCACTACATATGAACATAACAAGCATTGCTATCTTAACTGTGTAATTAGTCTAATCATAACTTCTATAATGAGTACTTAATTTGCCATATTTCCACGCTGTCACAATGATAAGCAATACAAAGGACACAGTCTACCTGCAAACTTAAGTATAGGTTGAACTTACGTGTTGAAGGTCTCACAAACACCATCCTTCTCCCTCTCTCTCTATCTCTACTACTCGATACTCTGTATACGGGCAGGCACGCCCAATAAACATTACATGACTTTTAACCGAACATAATATTTGTTTGAGGGTTATCCTATTCATTACTGCTTGCAGTAACAATGGCATTTATGAACAAATGGATTATGGACATGTTGAATCTATATCTTATAGAAGTAGCGAATTTTTATTTAACCCCTTAGCTACGAGGTGGAACTTTCCCAGCTCAGTAAGACCGTCTGGCTGTAGCCAGAATAAAATTTATGGGAACACATCGTACTGAAGGGATTAATTAGCAATCAAATCAATCAGGAAGTGAGCACTACATATTTATTATACAGTATAATACAAACTTGATGTGAACAAAAATAGTTCATTTGGCAGCTGTCCGGTATAGAATTAGCAAACCACATACAGTAATTTCTCGTTTAACGTTGCCCCCGACAATGCTGTTTCGTTATAATGTCGCTGCTCTTTAGATTCCCATGATTCGGACAACTTCCCGCTGATTTGGCATAACATCGTCACGGACTTGTTTGTACGGCGCATCACCCTCTTTCACCCAGTCAGAGCGGGAGGAAGAGCCACCCTCCGGGTCTCAGTGACTCGCCACCCTCCTCCTCCCCACTACCCACCACACACTCGCTCCACCTCCGCCCATCAGTGAGTACAATACAAAAATATTTAATTTATTTATCTTTTGGGATGTATAATATATACTTTTTTCTTTCAAAATTCAATTGAATTTATGTATATTTAATGTATTTTATGGGGCAAAGGGAGGCTGGGGAACGTAATTCCCGTATTTTATCTATTTCTTATGAGGAAAATTGATTCCGCTAACGGTGTTTCCATCAATGTTGCGGTTTTCAGGAACGGAACCACGACGTTAAGCGAGGACTTACTGCAGTTCAGTGCCAAACAGTGAGGTCCCTCGTAACGATCTTCAAGAATGAGGTGCTTCCCTGTATGGAGTACTGTCACCTTGTCTGTTCCCCGAGATATTCTAGGGACTGTCAGTTGAATGAAAATGCCCAAAGCAAGGCCACCAGACTGGTGCCTGCACTTCGGCACCTCAGCTACCCTGAGAGATTAGAGCGCCTGCAAGTGCCTAGCTTATACTACAGACAGGCAAGGGGGACCTAATTGAGGTGTATAAATATCTCAAAGGGCACTACTCAGTCGAGTGTCCTTACCTGGAGCTGGCAGACGCTCGCCCCACAAGGGGTCGCAGTTCAAGGTTGAAGAAGCCGCAAGTCCAGAAAGCTGTGAGGGCAAGCTTTTTCAGAGTGAGAGTTGTGAACTCTTGGAACAATCTGCCAGAGAGTGTTATGACAGCACCGGGTGGGACCTGTTTCAAGACCAGATTTGACAAGCACTGGAGCAGGTTCAGATACATTCAAGAGCCAGTGCATACCCAGTACAGTGGTCCCTCGATTAACGAAGGGTCCAATTAACAAAATTTCGGTTAACGAATTAGCTCCCATAAGGATTTTCAATTCCATTAACGAACAAAACTTTGATTAACAAAAGCCTTACGAGAATCCCGCTTTGTTGTGCGCTTCAGCTGATTGGCTAGTCTGCCAATACAGTAATTGGTTCTATGTTTACATTCGTTTCCAGTTGAGTAAATATCAAGAAAGTTGTGCTCTTCAATATTTTTGCATTTTTTATATTAAAATAATTGGTCATTCCAATTTAGTTAACATATTGATAATATATACAGTACAGGGAACAGTTTTTGTGTGCCAATCAGCTGATTGAATCACCCACCAATGCTTCTCAGTTTAACTTTGTTTACTGTGGAGTGAACATCCAGTTTGTTGGTCTCTTGAATATTTTTTTGCATTTTTACATTAAAATTATTGGTCATTCTGAAATTTAGTTTACATATTGATAATATACAGTGCAAAAATTATTATGAAACATGAACAAGGCAATATAACCAATGCACTCTGTAAAGAATATGGGATATCATCATCGATTGCCTATACAATCAGCTGTTTGACAAGTAAAGAAAGCTGCCGGGAATACGATATACACACCTCAATGTAAGTTAAAATATAATATTCTATGTTTTTTATTTATTATTATACAGTATACTGTACAGTACAGTACTGTATTTAGTTTATTTTTAATGTTTTTTTAATTCTATTACTGGTATACAGTACTTTGTATGAATACTTTTTCTGTGAGTTGGAAACAATTACCCAATATCCCATTGAAATAATAGATTCAGTTAACGAAGTTTTCGGTTAACGAACGACTCTGTGGAACCAGTTGTGTTCGTTAATTGAGGGACCACTGTACTTGCCAACAGTGCATAACAGAGATGTGACCGATCGCCCAAGCGGCTAATGAGCTCATGTGTGGTGAAGATGTTAAAAGTAAAAGTAAAAAATAAAATAGGCCGTTCTTTTCTTAAAAGCAGTTTTTGTGATATAGTCCAGAATGCGAAGTCTAGCTTTATACCTAGGTATGTTAATGCCTAGCAATAACTCGCCAGGCCAACATACAAGCAATTAAGACATCTACCGTAAGTTGCAGCGTATAAGTCAACATTTTAAGCTTGAAAAAATCTCTCCAAAACCAGGGGTCGACTTATACTCAGAGTATAAAATGTGAAGCTGTACCACATGGTGGTAAACAAGTGGAACAGCCTGCCTAACACTCGCTGTGCATCACCTAGTGCAACTCCCGTGGCCTGTCGCTAATATTTTCTTCTGAAATTCATGTTTGGTAAACTTATTTAACATAAGAGATTACAGTAATATCCTGCTTTACGCGTTTTTGTTTTTACACATTTTTACATTTACGCGGTACCCTGCCAGAACCGGAGTTCCCACTTTACGCGGTGCATCTACTCATATACGCGGGTGAAGTATAATTTTTTTATTTAGCTCATAAAATTCATACAAATTACCCGGCCAGAATATAATTTACATTGCTGGAATTCTTACAATTTGATGATCATTTTGAATATAAACATCATAGATTTTGCATTAGACATACAAATTTTAGATCTAATGTAAGTATTTTGTTTACTCAGAGCAAATATGTTACCTTTTGTGCAAAATACATGATGTGTATATTCAAAATATTCCAGGTCTTGCAAGGAATCCAGCAATGTCAATTATATTATCCTAACTTTAGTCTGAGGTATTATTTATTACTAAAAATGTAAATATACTGTTTTCTCCCAAACATTTCTCTGTTAGGGAGGGAAGGTGGGTAGAATCTTTGTTTTAAATTCAGAAACATTAATTTAAATATATATGAACAGTAAATAAGTGTTGCTTTCATATCTTATGTATAGAGTAATGATGATATGTTTTCACATGTGCTCACTTACATACACACAGTCTCATATTTTCTTTACCGTTAATGGTTAACTACTTTTATTGTTCCATATATTACCATTAAATAACTTTACTTAAAACAACCATATTATTTTTGTTTTCTTTAATTTTACTACAGCTACAACCAGGGTCTTATTTTCTTCAGTTTTATATGTAGAACCAGTCAGTCACTCGTGTGTTTTAATATTCTACGTTTTATTAATGGATTGTATTGTTCATTTTGCACACATAAACATCCAGTGGTGGAGCACGCATATTACCCCTCTTCGTGAATGACTTTTCTTCCTCAACCATCCATTTATTCCACTCAGAACGAATATTGTCCTTAAATGGCTTATTTAGGCTTTCATCATGTGGTGGAAGCACAGACGTTAACCCCCCCTGGTATTACATGTAGGCTTGTTCAGTGTTTGGGGAATACACTGAACAAGCCTACATGGCTATTTACTAAACCATTGTGGTTTTATGCTCTTGCTGGCATCCACTCATTACCCACACACCAACCTGAAAACAATTGACAATATCTTATCCCCATGGCTCCCCCAGCAAAAAGGATGAAATATGACGCAAGTTCAAGCTGAAAGTTGTTGCGTTTGCAAACTCTTCAAAGAACAGTGCTGCAGTGGATGACAGTTTAAGTCTAAGCCGTGCTGCTGTGCTGCCGACAGTGTAAGCGACCCATAGTTTCGCAGCTGGCCGCTTGGTGTTGGTGGCACCACTGGCAGCTTGTTTACAACAGCTGATGCAAATGGCAGATCGTAAGCCAGGTGTACCATAATGTTCTACTATAGTATCGTTTATAGATTGTACTATCAAGGTGCTATGCTGGTATGCTGTGTAAACAATTACTATTTTATTGGAGGTGCTGATTTTGGCTTGGTGTTTACCAGAGTTCTTACGAATATAACTGACTGAAGATTTTTAGTGGTTGCTTGCTGTCCTATGTAGATCCTGTTGCCCACTTCCCTTTTTGTATGAACTATATAATATATATATACAGGTATATCAAATATTGAAGGTGTTACGGTAAGTGTCTTGATGAAAGTGGCATGGCCTTATTTCACACTATCGCCTATGTTTGGGCTTATGGGGGTTCAACTTACTGTATATGGTAAGTATAGAATTAAACCTGAATTTTGAACTAAAAATCTTGGTCAACTTATACAGTGGGTCGACTTATAGGCCGCAATTTACGGTAATAATTACTTAATACGTAATATCAGGAGGACACATCGCTACCTGGCATTTAATTGCAATTCTCAAAACCCCCTCCCGCACCCTCCATCACACACATTGCAACCGTCATCTCTTACCCTAGAGCGAGCAGTAAACAATTGTCAACTCTTGAGGAGTGGAGACGGGTGGGATGTCGACGTTGCATGCTGGACTATATCACAAAAACTTTTTTTTAGAAAAAAACGGCTTTTGTTCAATCCGGAATGTGATATCTGTAGGTTATGCATCTAAGCTACTGTGCCGAGTAGCAACCTTGTAAATAAGCTACTGTGCCGAGTAGCATTTATATATATAATTACGTGGCAACACTGCACGTGTTATGTGGCAACATTGCCCCGAGGCTGCCATATGGCAAGGCAGTCTCAGTCTGACTGTGTGAGCCGTGCATGGCACACGGTAGTCACCACTTGTATTTCTCTCATCCATAATAAACGGACTTCAGTGTTACCCGGTGTTTCCCTACCCATCACTGCATTCTTCAGGGAACACTTGTAACCATCATGGCGCAGTGACTCGGATCTGTGGACTTACAAGTGCGTGAACGATGGACAGTTAGCCGGCGATGTGATGTGCGCGTCGACTCATAGTGTGTTGTGTTGTGTTGCGCTGTGTTTCGCCGCGATGTGCAATGTTGGGCCGTCACAGTGCTTTTTAGTGACAGTGGCAGTGTTAGTGTCAGTGTATTAGTGTGTGTCTAGAGCTGAGAGTTGAGCATTGGCCTGTTTTTTGTGGTACCCATGGAGCACGCAGGCGTACACCCTTCTCGTGTGACATCCCGGGAGACACTGACGGTCTCACCCCCACCCCCGCCGCGTCTCTAGCCACCGGCATTAAGGCCACCACGAAGTGCTCTCTCAGACACACACACACGCACGCACTCACTCACGGACAGAACAGTGGACTCTGCGTTATTTCTGCGCTGTTTATGTCATATATATGTGGTTCGAGCTGTTGAGGCGCCACTTTATATACTAAACAGTGCAGTCCATGCACACACAAAGATGGGCGGTAAGAAGGGACAACATCAAGATGGGAGACACAACTCCCCACCACCTTCTCCTCCACTGGGCGCAGACTCTCATCCTCCACCTCCAGTGACGGACATTGCCACAATTCTGAGGTGGATGGATGACCAGGACGAGAGACGCAGAGAGATGGAACTTCAGAGGGAGGAGACACGAAGAGAGGAGGAAAAGTTGCGTTTTGAGGCACTATTGGCGACCCTGGCGCTAACCCACCCTCCCTCACTCACAGGTAGCGCACGTCAAGGCGCCAGTACCCTCCCTCCTCCACCACACCAGCGTCCTGCAGGCACTCTTGCCTCCAAACAAACAGCTCCCAAGGCATCTGTTCAACCTCCACCCGCCCTCTCACCAGACGTCACGTTTCAGCTTTTTCGTGAGTGGAGGCGGCGTTGGACAGATTACTCCACGATGGTGGACCTTGACAGCATGCCTCCAAACAAACAGCTCATCCAACTGCGGAT